TTTTTTGTTTCTGCATATTTTTTGTTTTCGTTAAGTGAAATGGTAAAATTTTATTTCCAATTTAATTAAATTCTCATTTTTTATTTTAATGTTAATTAATTGTATTTGGTCTCTGGCTGTGTACTGTGATTTGTGATTATATCATTTAAGTATTTTTATATACCAAAGTTTATTTAAGTATAAAAAATGACGAATATTATATCTAGATTAAGAACGAAAATGACTGAAAGGAGCTTCGGAACTATATTATGTAAAAAAATTATTCCTTTTTTAGAAACAAATTATATTTCGATTGATTTTTATTTTTTTTGTTACAATTCATTTTAAATTTTTGTTGATTGGATTTGATTTCCGAAGTTTCCGTAAAATATTTTAGCAACATTATTTCTTTTCAATTTTATAAAAAAAATTTCCTGATTGTGTGTGCAGGAATTGATATTTTTCTTTGTGATAATTAAAAACTGATGTCTCATATGACTATGTATTTCTTGTTGTGATATTATAAGACTGAGAATGTTGTCTCATATATTTTATGATTATATGGTAATAAATGTTTTAACTTTTTATTGTATTCTCATTTGTTTTTTTTTTTTTAATAGTCCACTCCCTTTGCTCACTTGCATTATTTCGACAAATGAATCGAAGCTTAACATATATATATATATACAGAGAGAGAGAGAGAGAGAGTGTGTGTGTGTGTTCGCTGTAGCAGTCATAATAATAAATAACGCTTTAAATGTCGTTTCACCCTTGTTTATTAAATTAATATTAAGTAAGGACAATTGATGCTCACAAGCACTGTAAGCGCCAAAGCGAACGCAGCTGTAGTACAAGGGCCAACTCATTTGGAGCGCTGCAATCGTATTTGTTTCCGTGGTTTAACATGGATCTTGCGCTTCTCTTAGTATATGTTCTGTGGTTTTAACCAAGTCATTCAAGTTGGCCATTGGCCAATTTCACCGATTATGATTTAAGATTGCTTAGAACTTCTGACTTGCGGTTTATTGTAGAAGGCCTATTAATCACTTCAATATTCACAAGGACGCGAACTCCCGTAAGGATGTCGGTCTTTAATAATATCTCGTCGGTGGTATGATCAACGCGATGTTGCAAACACTTCGAAGCGTTTTTTAATTGGTCAGTTTGTAAAATTCTTTCTTCTAATTGGTCCATCAAACGTCTCAAAGCATTTGTAGCGAGACTTTGATCGCAGCCAGTGTGTAGTGAAAATAGAGGATTGGGTTTGATTTATATCTAGATCATTCAGAATTCAGATAGATTTACATATCGATATAATACGATAAAGTAAAATTCGCGATAAAATCTTGAGAAAGTTTTGAAAAGATACGAAAACATAAATATGTCAGATCCGGAACTTGAAGCGTTACGACAGCAACGTCTGGCTCAATTGCAAGCTCAATATAAGGTAAACATTACGAGATTAACTTGATTTTATAGTTTGGAATTTAAGGCTAATAATTATTTCATTCCTTTTGGATGACTAAAATGCATAAACTATGTGTGTGATTCTACAGTACCTTAAAAAGTATATTATTAAATTTAGTAAAAGCGATGGGAGCTCTATTCCCACTGGTTTCTGGTATTTATGCCTTGAACCTCTTAAGGTTATATGACACCTGAATGTTAAAATTCTGAATATGTTGTTATACTCGATCATTTTTTTTAACTTGATATAATTGTAAATAATTTTTTTCATCCCAATGATCTTCCTTAATTCGAATATATTTTCATTAATTTCCAAACCTTTATTGCTGAAGTCAGTATCTAGCACTTATCTCTATGCTTTGTATTTCGAACATTAAAAAGCAAACTGTATATTATTTATAAACTATAATATTTTATAGTATATTATTTATAAACTGTATAATATTTTATAGGTTTACTTGTCACATATTGTTCTGTATGAATTCCATGGAATTAAAATTGTTAAAATATAGATATGTTTTTGTTTTAGGGTAACAATGCCAACGATAAACAAGCGATGGAAGAGAGAATGCAACAAATGGAAGAAATGAAGCATGCTATATTGACCCAAGTGTTGGATCAGTCAGCTAGAGCAAGATGTAAATTTATTTTATTATTAATATCGAGATATGGTATTAATAGCTTATAACATTGTACATTTATGGATAGTGAATACACTTTGCCTTGGAAAGCCTGAGAAGGGCAAAATGGTGGAAGAAATGCTTCTGAACATGGCACAACGTGGACAGCTACCTGGCAAACTTGGAGAGAAAGAACTAATCAATTTACTTGAAAATGTGAATCAACAAACGCAAAAGAAGACAACAGTCAAAGTTAATATAATTTTATAATACAATCGTGCATTTCATAAAATATAGAAAGTAATAAAATCAAAATTTTTTTTTTTCAGTTTGACAGGAGAAGAGCAGCTATGGATTTTGACGATGATATGGACTTGTAGCAATTGTATAAATTTTACACATCCAAAATTGATTAAATTAGAGATGTTCATGATTTATATGTGCAGTAAGTTACAGAAATTACAATATTCACCACTTTTTGCTTAGTAATATTATTTTTATGCTGTACTAAAATAAAAAAAGTTACTATCACTTGAATTTTGATAGTAGGACAAGAGAGAGAGTTGATTAACATTACCATTCACTTTGTTATTAAATATATCGCATATATATCTGGAAATTATCATTCGCCTTATAATCTTCCATTTTTCCAACTTTCCAGAATCAACCATTTCCATACGGAACCACATGTCATTTCGCTATGATAGTAGTAATAATAATAATATATCTTGAGAAATATTTACTTTTTAGATCTCTTTTTCTTTATACATGTAAATACATTCAGCAAACATACAATTATTTTTCATTCTAAAAAAAAATCACAATCACTCTTCCAGTACACAATGCAACAAACAACAGTTTCGCACAACTTGCATAATGCTAAATATTATCATTATTTTATCCATACATATACAAAAACCAATGTTTAGTTTGATGTTTAAATACGATTTTACAAATCATGTGAACAATCGTGTTTAATATACAAATTTTTGATATATATTACATTCTCTTTTTGTTAAAGCTGTGTTAAAAGACAAATTTTTCTCAATGTGTACATCTTCGCTTAACTAGGTAGATCGTATTGTCTCGAGGGATGTATATAATTTTTGTTATATATATATATGGGGCATTCTTTCTCAAATCAGCCACCCCCCTGCGCATTTTATTTTTAAAGATAAAATTTTTTTCGAAGCGTCAAAATTTCCGCCTAA